AGAACAGTTTGCTCATATTTTTACATGTTTTAAAAACATACATACAGCTCCACACCCTTTTTTATATATTTCTTAGTGTCAAAGTGTATGCAATAATCACGATCTAAATCTAGAGAACATAATGCTAAGCAAAGAAAAAAAAATATTGTTTAAAAAATAATAATTCCCGAAAAAGATCTTCAAGTTTCAAAATATGCAATTGAGTGCTGGAACTCAAAGGAGCAAGGAACAATCTTCAAGGATATTCTTAAAAATATATTCAGAAATTTAGTTCAATCATTCAGAAAAAACTCCACAATTTTTATAACTCGTTTATTATAAAACTTTATTCCTTACTTGTACAGGGTGTCCACTTTGTTGTATAAACTGGAATCGGCTGTTTTTAAAAAACACGCTGGAAAAACTGGATAGTGTATGTTTCGAGCATCACCGATGCTTTAAAAACACGCTGGAAAAACTGGATAATGTATGTTTCGAGCATTATCGATGCTTAAAAAACACGCTGGAAAAACTGGATAATGTATGTTTTGAGCATCATCGATGCTTAAAAAAACTAGAAGTTTTTCTAGCTTAAAACATTTGCCGTTTAATAGATTAATTTATAAGTAACAAGTGCTGAAATTTTTTAAAATATTGAGTGGACATGTTGTATTATATAGTGGGTGTTTAGATTTATCATTTAGTGGGTGTTAAACAAATATGATAATGATAACAACTAAAAACAAAATACGAGAAACAAAATAAAAACAAAAACTCAATGAGCACAAATAAACTTTGCTAAAAATAGCTTGCTAGTTGCTAAAATCTTGCTATATGAATTCTGCAAATGGCTTAGGTTAGTAACAAAAATTGTAATCTAGACCCTTATAATCGTCAACATGTTGCTTGTCTTATCACGTTTATATAGCATTTATCGTTGCCAAGCTCATATTTAAAAATATTTTTATGCTATTCCTGTTCTTCATTTTCATCGCTTGTTTACTCTTTTTTATTTTTTGAATTTTGTCTTTTTTATTTTTGATATTGCGTACTTTTTTATTTTTGATTTTGCGTACTTTTTTATTATTTTGTGTCTTTTGTCAAACTTATTTCTTGTTTTTTGACATCGAGTACCGCGGAAGAGCATTTAAGGTATAAGACCCCTCAAAAAAAAAATTATCAAAAAAAGTTTTTTAACAAAAAAACAATTTTATCTTGAGAAACAACTAGATAAAAGAATTTAAAAAAATAAAAAAATAAATTTATTAATTGTCATGGCTACCAAGCAAAATGGCCGACATTTAAAAACATTTAAGTTACCCCGGCCAAGCTATCTCAGTAACTGAAAGCATGTAGGTTATGAATTTTTGGCATATGGTTAATAACATATTGATCTACAAACTGAACTAAAATTATTTAAAAAAACTTAGTACTTGACCTATAATGAAATTTTCAAAATGGCGTACTAAAAAAATGATTTTTTTGTAACTTGAAACTTCTATAAATCAAAAACTCTTGATTGCATTAAAAAACTTTTAGTTCCAATTGTACAACCAGGTGCAATAAACATTTGGTGAAAATTTCATACAAATTTAACTTACGGTTAATGAGATAGGATGGCCGGGAGGTCAAAAATTTACATTTTGAGAAAAACTCGTTTGAATAATATATTCATAAATTTTCATAATATTTTCTCTCGTATACTCAATTGAAAAACTTTTATTTATATGAACATGAACCAGGGTCATAAAGACATCCTTCTTGATCATTCTCTGCATCATCCTTTTTTTTTTGTATCCACGAATAACTTTTTGTCACTTTTTAGATGTAATCCGATTTTGATATTCTGCAAAAATTAGGCGCTTTTTGTTCATGGTTGAACAGCCTTGGAGAGTATAAATACCAGGAATCATATTCAACTTTTCAAACAAAAGTATGCTTGCTTTTCTTCCAATATTAAAATTTGAAACAGCATCATAAACTCCTAACTCCAACTGCGTTAATGAAACATACTTTGTTTTAGGTATGCGCTGCCATATCATTCCATTAAAACTTTCATTCTGGTTTTGGGTTTTACCATGAAGACATTTTTTTAAGAGTTCTTCTTGAGATAAATCTATATATATAGGCTTTAGATGACTGACAACTGACAGTGGAAGACCAGCACCTGGCTTGTAGGTAGACGTTAAATTAGCTTTATCCTGTTTATAACGACACCAACTATTGATGCCATCTGGGCAATGAGCATGCCAATTATTTCCAGCTGATGATGCAACATGAAACAATGTTGCAAGTATGGCCTTTTTCATACCTTCTAAATCATTGGCATTTTGCCTAACAGCAATTCCATAGTAGTTTTGTAGGCGATCAATTATAGCATTTGTTAATTTGTCTTTGCCTCCAAATCCTTTTACATTTTTTTTCAAAATTCGCAATCTGCTACCAACACGTTTCTGTACATGTCCAACACACTCCTACTTACACACTGTTATACCAGGATAAGTATCTTTAACATACGTATAGCTTTTACAATCACCGTCACCATAATACTTTACATACCTCAGTTTATTTTGTGAAATAGAACGGCTAAATATTCTTTGAGCACCAGTTACTTCCATTCCAGGAGCAGAGCCACGATAATTTAGTTTACATACATGTGATGATTTCCAAGCTTCAAAGGCATTTGGGTTATTTTCTTTAAGTTTTAGTTTTAAACTACATGCTTTACATGATCGACTCATTGGTTCACAATCAAGAATTTTACCTGTGTCCATTGATATAGCAGTAACCACTCCATTTAATGAGGAAAATCCACGACGTTGCCAGCTACCATCAACTGATACTGCAGTATCAACAATATTTGAAGAAGATTGACAAATATCTTTAACAGCGTCAGGCACTGTTTCTTTTGCAACAACTTTAGCACAATCAGAGACATGTTTAATTATTTTGTTGTAATTGTTCTTAGTCATTGGTGTAGGAATGTTCATTAAAGAAGTAAATTTTTCTAATCCTGAATAACCTTGACCACATGCACGCATAGAATAAATTATTCTATTATTTACATCAAAATTTTTCTTCCCAGAGCATGTCTTTGAAGTATAAAATTCAATTTTTTGTTGCAATTAGGGCAGCATATATTCAACATCGAGCTAAAACCTTTTTTTTTAGGAAAACATTCTTCAAGAAATAATCCAGATTGTAAACAATTTTTGCAACATAATTGACTTATTACACCAGATAAAATTTCAATGTCAATAATACGATAACCAACAGTTTTATTATTACTTTGATGTGGTGTTTCAATTTTTTCAACTTTTTTTGAGGATATAGATAAATCTAATGAACTATTATTGAAAATAAGGTCATTTTCAGAACAGGTAACATTGTTATTAACAGGAGCTACTGATAAAGTTGAATTGTTTGTCAAATTTTTGGTATACCTATTTCCATGAAATCTTCTGGATTTTTTACTTTGAGTACTTTGTTTAACTCTGCATGATTTACCCATTATTGAAAAAGTTTATTAAATAACACAAAAATAACTAAATAGCTGGCAATTCCTATAAAAAAAAACCGTTGCTATGCGTGTTGCTAAGCAGATCAAATTTACCCAGTTGAAGGAAACCTTTTATATCTCAAGAACTAAGCCTTATTTTTAAAAAATGTTTTTAAATTCGGATTCAGCGATAAATTTCGTGTAAGAAATACACAAATTATTTTTTTTGAATTTTTTAGGAATTTTGAGGGGTCTTATACCTTAATAGAAAGTTCACGCCTCCTTCCCAACCGATGTCGCAAAACTTGCCCAGAGGTGGGGTTTGAACCACGGATCTTACATTTCTGAGGCAAGTGCGCTACCACTGCGCCACGGCTGCTATATCGTTTTAAACCTTTTATTTTTTTGTACTTATTGATTTCTTTTTTTCTCATATTTGACCATTGTGTTTTGTTATATGTAAGAGTGTTACGATGTTTAGCTGTACTTTCTTATACAGTACTTCCCTAAATTTTGGTAATTCTAATGCTAAATTTCAACAACGTTATTATAACATATTTCAATCTTTTCAAAAACCACATTGAAATGATAATTCTTTATAAAACCTGTTTTAAAATGTATTAGACATGGTTTTTATACAAAATGGGTCGAACAAAGCAGTTATTCCCCAGGTAATTAATACAAAATGGGTCGAGCAAAGCAGTTTTATTGCCCAGGTAATTAAAGTTAAGAGGATTAACATATATAAATAGCTTTTTCTAGTTGGAAGAATATCAGCTGCTTTTGTCTCGTTTCTCAAATAAAAACAAAGCAGCTAGTAGCTTAAGCTGGGAACATAGAGCTGAAATATCATTTGAAGTATTACGCAATACATAAAGGAAAAGGAAAGCGCAATTAAAGCAAATACGTTTTAGTCATAACAGGCGTTGCAATAAATTATATGCAAACAGCACTATTTTCCATTAAAAAAATAAAACTTAAATTGAAAGGAGTTTATTTTTCTTTAAATTTATCCCAAAATGATTGTTACATTCTTGGACAAATATATTCGATTTTATTTTCGCTGTTGCGGAGTTATTGAAACATTTTTAGAATAAAATAGCTTACTATCATATTTTATATGTTTTGAACCTGTTTTGAACAAGCTTCTGTAATTCATTAAATTCAAGAACATCTTGTTAGAAAAATAAATTTAGTTGAAATAAAACTTAAGATTTTTTTGCTATATTGTTTCTGCTTTTATAACGACTATCGCCTTTTTAGTTTATTACTAATTAAAAATAAAATCTGTTCCGGTTAAGTAACTTTCTTTCGGTTAAGATGGTTCAGATGGACACGGTCTCAAATTTGTTCAATCGCTAATAGACATGGACATGGCTATTGTAATAGTTTTTTCTTGTTATCGTTTAATGCGATTTCAAAAAATGCAACAATTTGTTATTATGAAAATATAACAGTTCATAATATTGTCAATTAAATTTAATTAACAACAACTCTTTAAATTTAAAATTTAATCAAGATATACTTTAGTTATTATTATATTAAAAAAAGATTTTGGAATTCACTAGAAAAAAAAAGATTTATAGTAACACATTCACATCAGATTGTCTTCCTAATGCCATATGTTGTTCAATATCACTTACAGTTCTTGGAACATCAGTTAAACATTCACAACCGTTTGCTGTTATTAAAACATCGTCTTCAATGCGCACCTTTAACACATTTTTCATTTTTAAACTAGTTTATAGTTGAAATTTAATAAATAAAAATAAATAATATAATAATAAATAAATAATTAATTTTTCTAAACTTTTGTTACTAAAGTACTTACCCCGCCGAAATCATAATACTGAGCTATGACATCTCGAACAATAAAACCAGAGTAGATAGGATTATTACAATAGTTGTTGATTAGCTTGAGTGAAACAAAAACAGTGTTGAGTGAGATAAAAACAGTACGAAAAAGCTCATGGTATATTTTTGTTAAGAATAGAAATTATACGCTTATAAACGTGATTAATCGTGCGTGGAAAATTTGAAAAAAAGGACAAAATTAAAAATAAACAAGCATATTAAATTTAAAAAATACCTCTTTTATAAAATATATTCCTGGTTCAACAGTGATAACCATGTTTTCTTCGAGATTTCGTACGGTTCTTAGACTTCGCAAACCAGGTTCTTTAAGTCTTTCTTGTCCCTAATTCAAAAATAGTCAAATAAAATTTACCTGCAAACGAAATGTTCAAAAGATGAATTTTTAATAAAAACGTAACCTTACAGCTAAATATCCACCCACGTCATGGACATCTAAGCCCATAAAATGGCCCAATCCATGGGGCATAAAAAGAGCACCAAGACGCGCTTTCATCATTTCATCAACTTCACCTTGCAATATGCCAATAGCTTTTAATTCCTCTAGATGAGTACGATCGGCAAGTAAATGCATATCAACCCAGTTCACTCCTAAATATTTATTGAAAAATGTTATTTTTACTCAGGTGAAAAGTAGAAATAAAAAAAGTCCTTCGAAATAAACTTTTATAATATTTTTTTTCCATTAGTATTTTCCATATACTAAAATTAGGATATTGAAGCAATTAATGAAATATAAAATATCCTAATAAGATATAAAAATCTTTATTATACATTAATATCATATTACCCTATGATATTAGAATACAATAATATTAAAAAAGTGCACTTTAAACTACTTTATATCGTCAATTTTCTCGCCGACTACTAAGGAGCATCCATAAAGTACGTGTGCAGTAAAACTACTGATTTAGGACCCCCTTCCCTCTACAAAAAAAACTTTTAGTCGATTCGATATTATCATGTTACAAAACATAACAATGACTTTTTAAAGTCGTGAAATTCAATGATTTTGTTAATAAATAAAGAAATCGTTTTAAAAGAGAGATAGAGAACAAGAGATAGTCAAAACAGCGTACGTACTCGCTGTCTCTAACACCACTTCCTTCTTTGTACGCATTCGTGTTTTTTTTTTGGACAACCCCTTCCCCCATACCTGCGTAAGGAATTTATGGAAGACACCTAAATTGGAAAACACTGTTTTTAAATAATATGATAAATATACATTAAGTATATTTTAATCCATTTTTTAAAAAAAAGTTAAGGTAAATGTTTCGTGACGTATTGTGTTGTGTTTAAATAAGGTTTGTTATGTATATAGATCAAGAGATTTCAATCGTCTCGTGTATATAATATTTATTTTTTCAAATTCTATTTTATTTAAACGATATTTGTTCAGCTATACTCACGCTGAGCAGATGAATGAAAGAGGTAATTTTAAACACAAGAAAGATATTTCAAGTGCATAAACACAACGTGGGCGTATGAATTCCAAAACATAGCTGCTAATTATAAGTTTTAAATATTTCCTAGAAATATGATATATGCTAAACCGTTGTTTACCATACTAACCATGTCAGCTATTTTTGCACAGGACCTAAAAGTCAAAAACAAATGTCAAGCAGATATTGTTATAGCAGGTTTATTTGCAATGAAGACGCGTAGTTTTGATTTTAAGCAAAATAAAAATCTTACTAAAGTCATTAAAGAGTATGAAGCAGTAAAATTATCAAAAGAATGTAACGGCTATCTTAGTGCTAAAGGCTTACAAGAAGCCTGGGCAATGCTGTTTGCTGTTGATCAAATTAACAATAACATGCACAGAAACGTCAACTTAGGCGTTCATATTGAGGATACATGCGACTCTGTAGAGATTGCGATTCAAAGTAGCATGAAATTTGATTTTGTTACAAGAAAAAATAAAGATATCTTTGAAGAATACGAAAGCACTGGAAAGAACACTGATTTTGTAGTTCACAAGAAACTCAACGCAAGCGAGAAAGAAAAATTTTCCACTAATATAGAAGCTAGAATGGCTTTAAACTCAGCAGCAAAAACAGTAGCAGTTATTGGTATGCGAAAAAGCATGGTTAGTAAAAGCATTGCAACTCTAACAAACTTATTTAATATTCCGGCCATAAGCTACGGGTCTACAGACTCGAGTCTTAGCGATAAGACTGTGTACCCTTCCTTTATAAGAACCATCCCGAGTGACATCTTACTCGCAAAAATGCTTATTACGCTTGTTCGAAAGCTTAAATGGAACATTTTATTCGCAGTATACGATAGTTCCACAGATTATGGAAAATCCGCATTTGAAACATTTCAAAAACAATTAGAAATCGAAAACTTACACAAAAAAAAATTTGAACGAATTTGTTTAGCTGATATAATCGAATTCAAATCAATAGAAGATACTAAAAACGTAAAATTCAAGAATACGTTATTGTCACAACCTATTGTTAAAGGGGTTCTTTTATTCGTTCATAGTGAAACTGCCAGCACCATTATATCACGGGTTATACACGAAAATATAGAGGAATATACTTGGATTTTTACTGAAGGAATAGAGCTTACCGAAAGAAACCGCCAGTTGTTGAAAACCAAACTCACTAAAACGAACGTAATCTATTGCGAACCGATTAATACAAATTTTTTTAAAAGCAACTTGTTTCTCGAATACAAAAATTTTCTTGAAGTCCATTTCTTCAACCCCCAAGCACATCAAATAATACCCATTACAAAACAATGCATAAATGAAAACTGCATGGAACCAGCAAAAAAAAAGAAACAAGAAATAGAACATTCATTTTTCATTCCATACGTTATTGATGCCGTTAACTTGGTGGCTCATGCTCTAGAAAAACGTTACTCGTGCGCACAAGAATGCAGCGACAACCGCAGGTGAGTGGAATTAAAAAAAAAATTAAAATTATATAAAAAATTAGTCGTTTTAATAAATATATTCAACGCTTTATAAAATAATCGCTACTTAAATACAACATAGATCAATCTAACGCTTGCAGATATAGTTATAACAATAATAATAATAAATTCTTTAAATATAATAAATAATAAAAATATTAGCAATAATAACAATAAAAATAATAATAGTAACAATAATAATATTTATATAAATTATAAAACTTTAATTAAAATATTCAAAATAAATCAAGAAAACATTTTAAAATTTAAACTAGGTCTCTCGTTAACGAAATACAAAACACAACATTCGACAGCGCACTTGGTTACAAATTCGAATTTGATAAAGACGGCCATATCCTGGGTCAGTACGAGATTTTTAAAATCGAACAAGAAGCTAAAGTAAAGCGTCAACGAATAGGTGTTTGGAATAGCAAATTTGCAGAAAAAATTTCTGCCGAAGGTCAATGGAACTTCTCTAATTCATCATGTAGCTCTAAATGTTTGTTAGGATGGGGCAAGATACCGACATCAACTCAAGACTGTTGCTCTAATTGCATCAAATGTAAAGAAGACGAGTTCATCAACTCAGAAGAATACTGCAAACCATGTCCTCCATTTTATATCCCAACAACCAACTTTTCAACTTGTATAAGAATTCTAGAAAAGATTCTGTCATTAAATGAAAAAATAAGCATAACGCTTATTATAATTGCAACCGCCGGCCAAATTTTGGTTATTCTAATTGTCGTAACATATATTAAGTACCGCTACACGCATATGATTCGAGCTTCAGGAAAAGAAATGTCTTATTTGATTCTGCTCGGAAACTTCTTATCGTTTACTTCGCCATACTGTGTTATTGAACAACCTATGGAAATTGCATGTGTACTAAATATTATAGTATCGGGATTAGCATTAAGTTTGATTGTTGGACCTTTAGCTGTAAAGACGCACCGGGTGTACAGTATATTTACAAAAGATGTGTTGTACAAAGGTAATAACACCTTATACAAAAACTTTATAATTAAAATTTAAAAATATCAATAATATATTTTTTTAATTATTTTTGATTTGGTTGTTTTCATATCTAGGGATTTCTAAATTTGTTACAACAAAGTGGCAGCGAATAATTGTTTTGTCAATTGTTTTAGTACAGTGCAGTGGGTCACTTGCAACAGCATTAAAGAAAGATTCACCATTGTACCTCGCTCATTTTGAAAAAGAAACAGAACCGTACTTATATATTGAATGCAGTTATAACACAAGTATATTAACTTTTAATTGGGTCTTACAATCTTTGCTTATTGTAATATGCACTTACCAAGCAATATTAGCACGAAATGTCCCTGCAAACTACAACGAAGCAAGAAGTATAATGTTATGTATGATAACAATGGCAATTGAATGGATTGTTGTATTGCCAAGCATGCATTTTGGAGGAATATATTTGTTTAAAAAAATCATGCTTCCAGTTATTAGCATTATGTCTGCCACAAGTACACTTTTGTTTATATTCATACCACGTGTTTATATAGTTCTTTTTCGACCATCAAAAAACAAAGAAAACCTACCACATGGAAAACTAGGGAAAATTACACCAAAGGAGTCACAGGAATCAAATACAAGCATAAGAGAAAGTGATGAACCATGTTTTAAAAAGCTAAAATTGAGTATTGACGATTAAATGAATACTGATAAATAAAAAAATCATTTTAAATTTAATTTTACCTAATTTTATTTATTTAAAAAAAAAATTTTATTGTTTATAAAATTAGAATAAGAACTTTAAAAAACAAAGAATAGCTTTTTTTTTTAAGAATTCTGGATGACCATGATTGAACATAAAAGTTATATTTATTTTTATAAAAAAACTTTTTATAGACCACAAAATATTAAAATGTGGAAAAAAAAAATTATAATAAATTCTTTAAAGTCTAAGACATTAAAAGATGAAATAAAAATAACATTTAAGGTACATAAATACCTGGCTTGCAAGCATTAATAACTGCACGACTTGATTTTAAAACAGCTTCATATATTGCTTTTTGTTTTGTGGTAAATATACCATTGCATGGAAACGAACATGTTATATCTGATGCATAACAGTAATATTCACCACCCATATCAAATAAACTAAAGACAAATCTTCTTTTTTTTAAAAAAATGTATACATGTATATATATATATACATACATACATACATATATATATATATATATATATATATATATATATATATATATATATATATATATATATATATATATATATATATATATATATATATATATATATATATATACACATGTTTTTTTTTATAAGCATATGAAATTTTTGAAACAGGCTTGGGTATGCTTAAGCAAAAAGTTAAAAGAGGCTCAAAAATATGCTTAAACCTAAGCATATTTATAATAAAATATCCTTATTTCAATACTTTCTAAAAATGCGTGGGTTACTAAAAATTAATGGTTATAAGAAAAATAAAAAGTCGACTTTAGTACAGTATAATAAAAAATAAAAAATATATACTATATACAAATGTTATCAATGAAATAATAAAATAAATAAAATTTGAAATAAATGAAATAATAAAATAAATAAAATTTGAATTTTTTAAATGGTTTATCGAGGCTCAGAAATATGCTTACGCATGCTTATTTTTTTTTCCAAATCTGAGCCTCCATATGCTTATAAACGTTATGCTTATAAAAAAAAAACAACATGTATATATATATATATATATATATATATATATATATATATATATATATATATATATATACATATATAAATATATATAGATATATATATATATAAATATGTAGACTTGTAGAAGGTTGGGATGAGTGTGTCGCATTTGCTTAAATTGTTTGAGTAGATATGGGAGTGATTTTACTGTCGTGTTATTTTATCAATTGTTTATCCCGTTCAAGATTCTTATTGAATATTATTCCAAGGTATTTGTGGCATAAGTGAGCCAGCAAAGTAGAATATTCATTAACTTAAGCAGTAATTTTTCATGACTGACAAGATCAAATGCTTTTGCAAAATTAAGGAATATTGCAAAAATTTATTCGCCATTATCATAAGCATGAATTTAGTCCTCAATAATTTGAATAACCACATCCATTGAAAACATCCTGGAAGGAAATCAAACTGTTTGTTTGAGACCCATATGTGCTTAGTGTGACGGACAAAGAAGTCAGTGATAATGCAAACTTTCCATAATGCGGATGCAATGGCAATTAGACAGTAGCCATTAGAAAAAAGCAGGTTAGATATTTTAGGAATTGGAATTATGTTCACTTACTTCCATTGGTCAAGTAGGAACCGTTTTCTATAAAGCGGTTAAATAGGATACAGTGTAATAGAGGAATTTTAAAACAAGAAGATGTGAGTAAAAGAGGAGAAAGGTCCCTGGGTCCTGATTATCCCATATTTAGTTTGCTTTGTTGGTTAAGTTATTATTGGTTGAGTTTATATTTGGTCAGTTGAATATTATTAAGGGTAAAAATGGGGGTAATAAGTGGATTTGCTCCTTGGTTGATGAAGAACATAAAGTTAGGTTGTTTCTGACCGATATAAAAACTTTGAAAGTGATAGTTTAACTGAATTGCTAATGTCTCAGAGATAGAGGTGGTGATTTTTCCTTTATCTGCTAAATTGATTTCTAGCCAAAAATCTGTTTTTCCAGAAGAGAATCGCCTGTTATAGATTTGTTTTCTTTGGTAATTAGTTTACTGATTCCATTTGCAAGTACTTTCCCCTTGTTGTATTACCCGGAGAAAAAAAAGTCATTAATGTTCTTTTAAAAGGATTTGAATAAATGGTGATATCCATGTCTTGGAGTTATGAAGGGTTATTGCTCTTAGAAGTTGGCAGATGTCTTGAACAGAGAGTATAGAATAACAAAAATTGTTACAAGCAACTTATTTCTTATATTATTAGAAGCATTTCTTAGTCAGGCAACTATAGTTTCAAGAAAAGTACATCATATTAGTGCAACACTGTAAGTAATTCTACCTGATCAGCAAACAACCTTGCAGAAAACCAGGCAAGTGGACTCATAGAGAGTTAGAAGAGGCTGATATATATATACAGGGTGGCCCGTAAGTTTTGTCCACCCATTATGATTACTCATCGTTTTTACTGAAAAAGAAAAGACAACATACAATCTTATTGATATGTCTTTGCAAGTTGTTTACTAGAGGTTGTTTACTTTTACGAGGTGGAAAAAGTTTGAGAAATTTCGATTTTACACTTGACCAGAGGTTTGTAAAAGTTATAAATTCGAATTATAAAAAAATTTGTGAATTATAAAATTATAAAAATTATAAAAAAAATAGACCTAGAAAAGTAGTGAATGTATTCATTGCAAGATTTTCTGTTAAGTTTTGTTAAATTACATCTGTCTAACACATTTCAGTTTTAAACCAGCTTACTTTGAGGTTATTTTTTTGGCAATTTGAGTTCTTTGTTGTCTCCAGTAGACCCAAAAGTTTTGTCCACTTTAGGTTAAGAGGACAATGTGCTATTTTCTATTTTCTGTATCTGCATCTGTATTTTTAGATGGGTAAAGTTATTGGAAAATCAAATTTAACAGCATTACTGAAGAAACGCATTGCTGAGTTAGGTAAATTAGGAAAGTCTAAGGCTGAAGTAGCTGCTGCAATTGGCTGCAGTGAGAAAAGCATTCAGCGATACTGGAGAAAACCTGTTAATACAAACTTTAATGAAAAGAATCGCTGTGGTCGTCCAACTGTGTTGTCACCAGCATCAAAGAAGTTAATAGCCAGTGAAATGAAGGACAAGTGGGGTTCATCAACAAGAAGTTGTGCGAAAAAGTTAAACTTTTCTGAACGATACATTACACGTAAAAAACAAATTTCTCGTTCAACAGTGCAACGTTTTGTTCAACATCAACCATGGGGTAAAGTGGCTTACCATAAACCAATAAAACCACTATTGACTGAAAAAAATCGAAATGATCGCTTGAAATTTTGTGATTGGTTGGAACAAAATGGTTACCTTCAAGATGACCATGTTAGTAGACAAAAACGAGGCCATGTTCTGTGGGCAGACGAAAGCCCTGTTGAGTTATTTCCAGTTCCAAATTGTCAGAATATGCGAATACGGACCGATGACAAATCAAAGATCGATCCAGCTGTTCCTCCTAAGTTTGGATTGAAAATTATGGTGTGTGGTGGTATGTCACGGTATGGATTGACTGAATTGGTTGTTGTGCCAGAGAAGCAGACAGTTAATGCTGATTATTACATGAATCACATTTTACCAAAATATGTTGAGGCTACTACAAGAAACCATCAAGGTGATACTGCTGATAAGAGAAAAATGTTTTTTAATCAAGATATGATTCTTTTTCAGCAAGATGCACTGCACACTCAGCAAAGTGCAGGTGCACTGCACACTCAGCAAAAATCGTTCAGCAATTTTGTGCAAAAAACTTTCTGTCAATGATCCCAAAAGAATTGTGGCCTGGGAACAGTCCAGATATTAATGTAATTGAACATTTATGGAACTTGCTTCAACAAAGTGTCTTTGAGGCTCCTAAGCCAAAAAATAGAGTTGAACTTGTGGAACAGGTGAAAGACAAGTGGTCTTCTGCGACTGGTGACTATTAGGGTACAGCGAATTTTTTTTTTTCTTTCTAAAAGCTTAGGAAAAGGTGTACTTTTATGTAAAATCAAATTAAAGAGGGTTTCTTAAAAAAAAATTTTGATCGGAAAAAGTTTTGATACCCAAATATGGACTTTTAGAAATAGCAAAAATTAGTAAAATCTAATTTGTCACATGTCCTTCATTGTATTTTATATTTTCATTTTCATTGCGATAAAATATTAAATGCAAATAATATTTTTAGATTATTGAAAGTTTTTTAGATAATAATTTTTAAAATCATTATCTTGCATAGATCCTATCTGCAGTGCAGATTCTGCATTTTTTAGAGGGAGGAGGAGGGGGTATTCAATTTTTTATAAGGTTCTAATGATTAAAAAATTTGATCATAACAGTTCTTTATACTTTCACCAAAAAATAGGTGGTTTATCCCCCTAGCTTACTCCAATAATATTTTGATAGAACTACTAAAACACTATTAAAAAACAAATAAAATAAAAATCTATTGAAGTTAAAAATTTAATAAAATTTCTTTCTTTGTTTTAAAAACAGGTAGCAACTCTCTATGCTGAGCTCTAGCTCTAATATACCCATCTCTTGCATATGGTCCAACTACTGACATGGATGCTACTGTCACTTGTTTTACAGCACGTTCAGTACTTTGAGTATGAATTTTAATCGAAGGAGTTATTAAAGGTATCAATCTAAGTAATAACAACTTATCTCTGGTGAGCGAACAAGTAAAAACAGGTTCTTCTACAACACCATTTTCCCATTTAACTAGCTCTTGAAGAGTTTAAGTTTAGGTGTTTTTCTTGGTCTGATTCGCATATCTTCAAGGATATCATTACCCCTTAGTTTCAAAATTTGATCAACTGCAAAATTGCGATCTTCTGCATTATTACTAGATAATAAAGAGATTAGTATACTTTCATGGTTCGCATACCAAGCCCCTAACTGGATGTAGGGAAACACAATTTCTTTTACTCTATCAGGTTGCATTCTAAGAATTCTCAATTGAGACAGAATGTGATAAGAAGCATCTTCAAGTCTGTTTTTGACCTTTATGTCAAAAAAAAGTTTAAAGTAAAATTGTAAACAAAATACAACAAGTATTTCTAGATTTGGCGAATTTTGATCATTTAAGTTGTGTTTCCTTGTCCACATAAAGACTATTCTCATGCCAGTAGTGAGCCATCTGGCATGACTTAAGGGGCCACATTGAATTTCTCTAAGATTAGGTGGCAATAAACCAATCTTAACTGCTTTACATAGCTTGTAACATTGTTTCTGATCTGTTGACATATTTTTTTTAATATTGTTTCTGGAATGTCAACAAAGCTCTCTCCATTTGGAAGAGCTTTAAATTGAGGATTATACTCCATTTTATTAACATCAGGAAGAAATTTTCCCACAGGACCTACAAATCCAGTACTACATGATGTTGGTCCATCAATGCCTTCTATAAGGTGACGCAAAAATAATTCATTCGAATGAAGCATGCATATAGCCCAGTGGCACCTAACAGCTTTTCAAGATGCGTTATAGCACCACCTTTCCAGCCTGTGTTAATTGAAGTACTGTCAGCTCCAAGTACTAAACATGATTCAGTAAGATTATATTGTTGCAGCCAATTATAAACACCTTCAGCAATCCTTTTAGCTGGCTTATCTAGATGATTAGGTGCATTTGGGGTAAAATGGCCAAGATATCGACCACCAGGTTCTATAGTCACAGTAATGTGCTGCTCTTTGATAATAACAGGATGTAGCTGTCCATTTGAATCATTTATCATTGCTCTTGTTGAATCTTTCTTTCCGTCAAAGGAAAACTCCGTAAATGGCAATATTATCTGCTTTCGGAAGTTTTAAATTATCATTTTTCTTCGCAACTACCATCACCTTTTTTCTCTCTCTCGTCAACTTAGAAGGATCACAAGCAAGGTAAGAGGACTCAGAGGTGAGAAATCCTGCTTCAATTAAATCTTGAAGATAACTTGTAGCAATTGCTGAAATGGCGGCAGGTGAAATCCCAAACCTATAAAATAAGAATGGTTTATATTTATTTCTATTAACTCATGTTGCTGCTCAACAAAACAAAAGTCAATATAATTACCTTATACTAGCCATAGCTGTGTTTTTCATTGACATTGTCTTATATCTTGACTTCTTTTCTAAAAACCGTGTTACAAGGAAAGCATAGACACCTAACTTTTCCTTTAGCAGCCTTTTAACCAAAATCTTAATTTCATTGTCTTAAAGTTAAGTTAACATTATCTAGAGATATAATTTTCATCGAGAAAGCCATGAAAAATATTTTTTTGATGTTCTTTATCTAATTCTATATCTTCTTCTTCTGCGACCTAAAATCAAATTAAAACCAAAATACATACATATATATATATATATATATATATATATATATATATATATATATATATATATATAATATATATATATATAAAATATATATATATATATATATGTATATATATATATATATATATTATTGTTGTTATTATTATTATACGAAAAAAGAAAATATTTATTATTAAGAAATTATATTTACCTCGAAGAATGCTTGTTCCTCCTTCTTCATCGCTGACTTTTCTCTTATAATTTTTTCTTAGTTTCATTGTCTCAATCTTATCAGCATGTCTCATCTGCATGTCAGACTTTTCACCTGTCGTATTTCTTTAACTGTATAACCACCTGAGCTCCATAGTTGGAATTTTTTTAGAATAAATACAGGTGCAATTTATATGTGCTTTATTTTTACAATTTTTGGGGGAAGAACACCCAGACAGATCATGCTCGCATAGAAGTATTGTGTGAGGACATGTTATGAGGTCCATTAGTTTATCTAACTTCAATATTAGCTCTTCTTTTACTTTTACCTTAGTTCTTCCCCATACAACGTTTTCTACTTTCTCCCAAAGTGTTTTTATTCTATAATGAAGCGATTTCTCCCCAATAATAACTGGTTGTTGAAATAAAATACTTGCTTTTTTCCATTGAGCAAGAACAAGTGGAATTAGATCGCTAGCAAGATCTTTGTTAGAATATTTATTTTGGTGTAAATTGCATGTTATGCTTTTTTGTTCTTTTAATAAAATTTCTTTTTGAATAACTGCTCTGTTTGTAGGCAGCTCACTAGGAATAAAATCTTTTCCAGGTCCAACAAACTCAGAAATTCTAGTGGTGGATGAATATCTAGTTTTAACTTTCGGCATTTATGAATAAATTGATAATATAACAAATAAAATATTTACAGACTACGATCTTGTTTAGATGTTTTTTACGGTGGAGAGCTAAGAATTTCTTTAAAAATTGATTTGGCACTGCGCTTATTATGAGAAACTAAACATAAAACCGGATTAAATTTACTTTATAATAATTAAAGTATATTTCATTTTAATAATGTCTAAATATGAAAATTTGGGTATCAAAACGTTTTCTAATCAAAAAGTTGTCCATAGCAAACCTACCTTAAAATTTATATATTTATATATATATATATATATATATATATATATATATATATATATATATATATATATATATATATATATATATATATATATATATATATATATATATATATAGGTGAGTGTGTGAGTAATATCTTTTGTTTGTAAAAATTGTTTTATAACCAATTAATTGGTTTTTAAAAAATTTATATAAAAATCTGAAAGGTAGATAAAATGGCAACAACATCTTAATTTTTTTATAATTAAAAATTATTCATGAAAAATTTAAAAATCTATATTTTCCATACATGAAATATGTCACATAAATTAAGGTAATCATACCACATGTCTCCATCAAGAATTGTTTTATCATTTGGTGCACCTGCATGACCATAATGCAATGTAGCACAATTTGTACCACTGTAAACAAATAAATAAAATTTTACTCTCATAGTTCATTAATATGCTTTTTGCAATAATAAAAAGCTCAATGCAATGAGACATTTAAATGAGTTAATTGTTTATAAAAATTTATGAACACAAAAAGCTGTTCATTAATACCAAGTGTCCATTAGCAAAATATTAACACACAAATAGAAACTCTTCATTAACATACTGAACATTACTAAAATAAAGAACCTTTACCTGGCAGCAATACAACAGTAAGAAACTCGCCTACACCCTCCTCTAGCATGAACGTAATGCTCAAACAAGCTAAAAAAAATTTTTTAACACAAAATAATCATAAAGTTTTGTAACTAAATTTTAAATGATTATTTTAATAGATTCATTATTGTGTGGTTTATTTTTAAATCATAAAAAACTTAAAATTTGTTGAAAATTTAGTCCATATATAGTATAAATTCAAATGTAGCAGCACTCCTTGCATGTTCTACCTATTTGTCTGTTGATCTAGCAGCACTTCTTCCATGTTCTAATTATTTATCAGCTAATGTAGCAGCACTATTCATATGCTCCACCTATTTGTCAGTTGATGTATGTTAACAGTAAAAAAAAAAAAAAAAAACATTCAGAATGTTTTTCTGTTTAATTAAAAAATAGAAAATACTCCAGAATATTGAGTTGCACTTTTGTGGTTTTTTAAAAAAACGATCAAATTTAATTAGTTTTCTCAATTAATCTTAATGGTTTTTACACAAAGTGTACTTGATTTTGATATTTTTAAAGAAAAAGAGATGTTAAAGCTGTTTTTTTACACAGACGGTGAATTTAAAGCCTTTACTATAAAATAACAGAATGAAAATAAAAATAAGTTTGTGTATATATATATAAAAATATATATATATACACAAACTTATTTTTATTTTCATTCTGTTATTTTAGTTATTTAAATATACTCTAAACTCTTAAAATTTCTTTATTATTTTCATAAAAAAATACTTTAATAATAATAAACTTATATTATATTAGTACCTTTCAAGTTGATATTCTTTCATATGTGGACGAATATGTTTCATAACCTAGATAAAAAAAGAAAAAAAGAAAACATCTACTTGAGCATATTTTGTGATTTATAATGAAATGACCATGCTGAAATCAGGCTTGTTGAGGTGAGCTGAAGCCATGGAGCCGCTGTTTTTTGGTAGAGCCGGAGCCGCAGAAATCCGGTGACTCTTGGTTCTCATGTTTTTTTAAAGGTATAGATTGTATGTTTTTCTTTTATTATAGACAAATTTTATTCATTCATTTTTTAATTAACTTGTTGAATGAATTTTTTATTGATTTTTTTTTTTTTTAGTAATTTTTTTCTCTCACAGTTAGTCTTGCTAAAACGTAATAAAAATGAATATTTTAACGAATATTTTTATTTGTACTCAATATATCCTTTAATAGCATTTTTTATTATACTATATTATGAAAAAAACAAGTAAATTATATAAGGATATAAATTTATAAATTTATATAAGGAAACATTCTTATAGTATTACATACATTACTTTATATTATATTTTTTAATTGATATATGATGTTAAATTGTTGATGCGCAAATAAATGATCAAAGGTTATTTATATCTTAAAAATTATATGATCCAATGGGCACGGGAAGTACAAAAGACATCTTTTAAATGTCTTTGGAGCGTTTTAAACATTTTTTAAACGTTTTGGACATCTTTTAAACATTCAAAAGACGTCTTTTTTTGGTCCCATGCCCACTGGGTATCGAGTGGACAAAGAATGTAAAAAAGACATCTTTTAAACAACTTTTGAATGTCTTTTGAACGTTTTGGACATCATTGGAACATTCAAAAGACGTCTTTTTTAGATACCATGCCCCTTGGGCAAAATTAGAACTAAAAACTTTAGTTTTGGGTAAATAGTTATGATATATAGAAAAAATTAGTTATGATATATAGAAAAAATTGTATATCTACCAAAACATTTTTCTTTTCAAATGAAATATGCAGTAAAGTGATATTAATAGAAACATGCAGTAAAGTAGTGATATTAATAGAAACATGCAGTAAAGTAGTGATATTAATAGAAACATGCAGTAAAGTAGTGATATTAATAGAAACCTTGTAGTCATGAAAATTGGTTAAAAATTAATTGCTGTAATTGGTTTGGATTTGGGTTGGCAAATGTGATTAAAAAAAAATATTCATTAGTATGGGAGCCGGAGCCAAGCTGTGAGCTGAGTCAGAGCCAGACATTGGCTTCACAAGCCTGGCTGAAATAAGCCTTATACGGGTAAGACTTGGGTGTTGAAAATCTACTCATATTGGTGGTGGTAATACATTTATCTTTTTTATATTAATAAAATATTTATTTACTTTTAAGTTCCATATATCAATTGAATTTCATGTATTTTTTATTTTATTTATATAATGTACTTCATACGTATTAAAAAAAAATCTTTTAAATCTTTTAATGAAATAAATATTGATTTGAGTTCACAAAATTTAATAGGACAATATTTTGATAGGGTATTGAGAATGAGTGTTTTCAGGTAACGTATAGAGAAGAATTAGCACCGGATTTATTAGTGTTATTACATAGGTAGTAGATAAATTTTTATAGGTACATGTTTAAATACATTATTGATTTTGCTGTTCTAGTGTAAAAATTAATTTTTAAACACGATAGCATTGAGGCCACAGCAATTAAAAATTTGTTAGATTCTTTTGATCTCATACAGTTTACCCACCTCCAACCCTGGCTATTTAATAAGGGTTTATGCAAGATTAAGATAAGTTTCATTGCCAACCATTATTTTTCTTAACCTCCTGCCATCATGTCAGAGAGTTTCATATAGTTGTTGCCATAAATTGCTTCTAATTTTAAAATTATTTATATTTTGTTAAGTGCAGAGATTATTGTTAAGTGCAGAGATTATTAAGACTTTTGTTAAGTGCAGAGATTATTGTGAACTTGCCAAAAAAAATCAGATCGTTTAGAAAAAATTAACAAGTATGGAGCTGTTTTATACGCCTTAAATTTCATGAAATTCAAGTTGCATTTCTCCAAATCCAGGCAGGTTTTTATTCTGAGTAATAAATACTCAAAGAGATCAATGGAATGGCTGACTACATCTCTCTTTCCTGGGCATCGTAGTTTTTAACCTGAAATTTTAAAGTAAAACTTAATTTCATACATTTTGATATTTCAGTCTTATTATTTAAGAATAATATATATGTCATAAAAGTAACAAACTGTTTAAAATGGTTTGCAAAATGGTTTAAAGTCAGATGTCAAATACAAAGAAAATAACTCTAAATCAATTTTTTTTAATTGATTTAATTTGTTTGTATTTTTCTAGACTTTTCTAGAAAAATACAAAGAAAATAACTCTAAATCAATTTTTATTTTTATTTTTTTTTCTAGACTTTTCTTAAAATTTTTTTCTAGACTTTTCTTAAAAAGAATTTTCTAGACTTTTCTTAAAATCAGTAGAAATATAGTAAAAATGAAATTAATAGAAATAGTGAAATTAATTATTTTGAAAATCAATGAAATTAATAGATTTTGTCTAGTCAAAGTTGAGTGTAACGAGTTTTTAGTAATTTTAAACCTTATTTTATCTACATTCCATTATTTTTGATTTACACTTTTAAGAATATGAGCCTGCTGCAGAGGTGAAATTCAAACTATGGTAAAACCATACAAGGTGTTTTGTGCTGGCGATAGCATCTTTTGACAGAGATCACGATAAAAAAATGGTAAAAGTTCTGTATTAAAAAAAAGGGAGGTCAGAGAAGATGTAAAAACAGAATAAAAGCTGAACTCCTTCTGAAACCATTTTTTGTTGATAAAGACCAGCCACTTAGTCTTGAGTTGTATTCTAGGTCATATTTGAAATAGTTGATATTCTAGGTCATATTTGAAAAAATGCTTACAAATGAGACTCCCTCAGACTTTTTGGATACAATGAATTTAAAAACTTTTAAAATCTTTCAAAGTTGCTAACAACTTATCAGAACTCACAGCAAAATCACAAATCAATTGGCCATAGTTTAAGAAATTTATTTCTCAAAACAAGAAATACTCTTCTTGTTTTTAGAAATTGCAGGGTAGGATATTTCTCAAAACAAAAAAAGTATTTCTTGTTTTAAGAAAAATATTTGTAATAAAAAATTCAATTTTGCTGAGTTTACAGTAAAATTTATTCAAGATAATGTAGAGTGTGTGATAAGCTTGGAGAAGCTTCATAAACTAATTCAAATAAATCTTGTGAAAAACCATTAAAAAAAGAAGAGTGGATTCAAAGAGCTAGCTACAACAACTGCTCGCTTTCTCGCTATTGAATGGTTCTAATATTTTGAATTTTGATCCAATACAATATCCATTATTGCTACATTTTCAGCTTAAAACAAGTATCTTAAGAAAATATTACATATTTTCTAAAGATACTTGTTTTAGGCTGAAAATTTATATATATATATATATATATATATATATATATATATA